ATGATTAAGTACTGTTTGTCTTCGCAGTGTATGACGATGTAAAAACCTTAATAAACTTGTATATTTGTACGAATCTTAATATTCAGAAATCAAACTCCTCATGAGAACTAATTTTGTCAGAAAAAAAACTGTTGGTTGTATTTATCATTCTGGTATCGTCCTTCCCCGACATTATAGCGGGCGGAGCTTCGCCGACGTTTGCCAACGTATGCACGTGGCAGTTTTTGGCAGCTATAGAGTACAAAAAGTAATGCTTTAAGGGTCGAGGTCCAACAAGTTTTTCAACATGTTCAAATGTCTGCACCGGCGGCGCCCGCTACACGCGTGGGTATCGCCTATACAGGCGAATTTCATGCGTATAGCGGGCGTGGCCCTGCAGACGTCTGAACATGTTGAAAAACTTGTTGAACCTCCATTTCAAAGCATTACTTTTTGTACTCTCTCACTATCATAAACTTTCACGCGCTCATCTTGGCAAACGTCGGCAAAGCTCCGCCCGACATATTGTGGGGAATGGACGATTTATCACACTGGTACTTGATAGTTTTCCGTGATCGACTTTCTTCAAAGTGGGAGTGTGTTCAAGCACTTACAAGGGAAGAATACTTGGTCGAAGTGGCATTTCCATATGAAATGTATACTATCTTAGAGCTTGAAACGCTGGTCTCAAATCTGCTTTCCTTATTTGCAAAGCGCTTCTGGGACGGGAGTTTGGTAAAAGTCCAATGATTGGCTAAGGTGAAAACAGGCGCTGAGATCTCGCAGGCACTTGGAAGGAGTAAGGTCTGGCATGGGTTTATGAGATTGAAGGTGATTATTGCATAGAACGCCTTGTTGGTAGTGTCGTGGTCCCGAGCTCCTAGGCTGCAGTTTGGAATGGTTTTATTGTAGCCGCCTTTAAATTTTTGCTCCAAAAAATTCCCATAACTTCCCTCACAGAAGCGCTTTGCAGATAGGGAAAGCAGATTCGGAATCAGCGTTTCATGCTCTATGAGATGATATACATTTTATATGGAAACGCCACTTCGACCAAGTATCCTTTCCTTGTTAGAGCCATTACAAAAGTCTATAAAAGCTGTGCAAAGTTACTGTTGAGGTTCAGATGCTGAATGCAGCAGTTTGAACACACTTTCACTTATTTTCATTGAACTTTTGATAGACACCAATTTTGTAAGTCAAAGTACAAGTAACTGAGTTCATTGTGCCATACATTCCCGGGGTAAAATGTGATCCTCTACTTATTGTCTTTTAAGCAAAAGAGAGATGCACGATAGCTGTAGCGACCGTATATGCAATGAAGATACGAGATAACGTTTAAGGCTCGATAAGAAAGTAAAACATTAATAGAAATGCTCTATAATAATGAGATAACAAAACAAAAGAGAGCAGCCTAGAAAGACAAGCAAAGAAAATAACGCGCGAGTAATGTTTTAATATATCAAAAATAATAAGGGTTGTTTACGTTTGTGTGTGTGTGTGTGTGTGTGTGTGTGTGTGTGTGTGTGTGTGTGTGTGTGTGTGTGTGTGTGTGTGTGTGTGTGTGTGTGTGTGTGTGTGTGTGTGTGTGTGTGTGTGTGTGTGTGTCTGTCTGTCTGTCACGAAAATCATGGAGCGACTTACAGCGAATTTCTTGAGCCCAAATTTTGCACAGCGCATGCTACTTACATGAGAATCCACTGTACAAAAGCGCGAGCGGATCCGTTGTGTGGATCCTTCAAAAAATGCGCGTCAGTCGGATCCACTTGGCTTTTGGTCACCAAATTGAGCCTGTAGCACAACTTTTCGCAAGATCACGGATATGTTCGACAAGTTAATGTGCAAACGATGGACTTTAGCTTGAAAAACTGAACTAAAGTTTATTACTTTGTAAGAACGGGGCCAAAAAGAATTGGTTGCGTAAGTGTTCACTTCGCCAAGATTTTACCCGATTATTTGAAGAGATTTTTGCACAGAGATGTAGCCCACGGTGATATTGTATCTTATGGCTAACACCAGGCCATGAAAACTCCAAAAACCGATTCAAATCAGCATTTGTTTTTTTAAGAGAAGTTTTATTTACGCGAAATTACCGATCTCATATGGAAAAGCTTTCAGAATGAATAGTTGTTTACAAATCATTCGTGATAGTCGGCATAGCGCGGTGAGTTTCAATGTCACTATTGTGCGTAAAGCGTGAAGAAAGTAAGGGCCAGTACGAGCCTCTTTCTTGTGCGATCAACAGGGTTCTAGGAAAGCAACGATATGGCTTCCAGTTGACAGCCAATACATAATACAGCGCTACGAATTAAGGCTGCCTTCCCATAGCATATATTCGGCCCGCTCACAGAAGTCCTGCATTCGCATCCCCATCGTTTCCTGGTAGCTGCCAACTTGACGGAGTCGCTATCTCGTCGTCAATGAATGCGCTCTGCAGCTATTTTCCTTCTGACTCATGGAAGACTATAGCTGTCCGCTGGGGGTGCGTAGCAAGTGTTACCCAGGCAGCCGCCTGGTATCGCAGCCAGCCGCCAGAGCTGGCACCAACGCCGCGGCTCAGCTACCGTAAGCGCGCTCTCGTCGTCCTCAACCTCTCGCGGAGAGATTTTCGCAGCAGCCTCGCACCTCATCGCGCTGAGGTGCGAGAATTCCCTCAGAGGTCGCGCTACTGCCACATATTATATATCGATCAAGACAGCAGAAAATTTGTAGTTTATTAGTAAGATACAATACAAAACATATACAAAAACAAAAGAAGTTTTAAAAAATAAATTGATGGAATAGTTATAAAATTAAATTAAAAGTTTCAATTTTCAAATTCTCGATTATCAATTAAATCATCAAAATTTTTAAGCAATAAAAACTATACAAAAAAATCTCACCACCTTCTCATAATCTAGAATAATTCTAAGATTTCCTTTTTTCTAATTTCCCTTTCAGGCAGTCAAAAATAAGCTTGTAAGTTGCGCGATTTTTCTTTTGTGTGATGGCGAATAAAGTTGAGACCTGGAATTTTTTTTCGATTTTGCTTTATTCATTTAAAAATTCTTCACGAACTTCAAAATCTGCACCACACATTGCGTGGACGGTGTATAATTGTCCTTTTTCTATCCCTGCTTAAATCGTTATGGGATTTAACGTGGACGCCGTCCCCAATCAGCGCTTTTAGTCCGATTTCTACGATTGTCTTAATTTTTCAAAATTTAGAAATTTTTACATTTCTATCCTAGTGATTTGCAAGGATGCAACTTTAAAAATGGAAAGTTCATTAATTTCGAGATTAAAAAAAGAAACGAGGAATTACTAGTAAACGAAGAAAATTCATTCCATGATATCATGCTTTTAGTTTAATTTTATAACTATTCCATCAATTCATTTTTTAAAACTTCTTTTGTTTTTGTATATGTTTTGTATTGTATCTTACTAATAAACTACAAATTTTCTGCTGTCTTGATCGATATATAATATGTGGCAGTAGCGCGACTTCTGAGGGAATTCTCGCACCTCAGCGCGATGAGGTGCGAGGCTGCTGCGAAAATCTCTCCGCGAGAGGTTGAAAACGACGAGAGCGCGCTTACGGTAACTGAGCCGCGGCGTTGGTGCCAGCTCTGGCGGCTGGCTGCGACACCAGGCGGCTGCCTGGGTAACACTTGCACGCCTCCCGTCCGCTGGTAGCCCAATGTTGCCCGCCCACCGCCATTTTTGCAGTATCGTCGCCCGCTTACTGCCACTTTCGCAGTATCACCGCCCGGACTGAAACTGCTATATATCGCCGCCTCGCCATAGCCTTTGATTCTCTGAGTGGGCCGTATCTCAGGCGATTTTGTCGCGAAGCGATATGCAAATCTGAACAGTGTTTAACGCCGCGTTGTAGTAGTGTGTGGATCCGAGCGCATATGTGCTGATTGTTCGGCGTACGAATCGCTGCTCGATTGTCGGCGTGTTAGGCAACTTGGCAACCAGTGTGGGATCATCGCCGATTTTGCCGAATCGACGATGATCCCACACTGGTTTGAGTTCTATCATGTATTTTATTGTCGTTAAAAAGTTATAACTGTCTTCTTCTTTCACGTCAGTTGTAGGGAGCTTTAGAGAACCCACTCAATCCGCTTTTATGTTTGGGAGTCATTTAACCACTAAAAAAATTTCTCTAGCGCTTGCAAGAAGATCAAACCTTGAAGTTCTCTTTCTTCTACTCCATTGATAAGCAATGTCTAGATTGCAAGGTCATTCGGCAGAACTTACAAGAAAAGCTTCTTCAGTTTTATATTTTCCAAAAAACTTTAATTTTTTTGCATCAAAACCTACACAACAAATCATTTCGAACCTGAAAGAAGGGAAGAAGCAAAACAATACTTTGAAACGCATTAACGAGCTCACTTATGTTTCGTCATTGTTCACGTTTTTCGCTACAGTATCTTAAAGAAAACTATGTCATATGATATCATAAAAGCGTCGCGAGAGGTTTTATCGAAATCCTCTTACAATTGGCTATTGCCAACCATGTAAAATAGAACAGTACGGGTTGTCAGTTGGACGGTTCTCTGATCATATGTGCAAGAGGGTTACTGACTAGACGATATGTTCGAGTGCGAAGTTTCGTACTGCACGAGTGTGAGGTATGGTCACGGAGTGCGAGGAGCAACTTGGTCGTCGCTTTCACGTCTCTTCGGGCGTGTGGTGGCGACCAAAATTGCAACGACTTTGCAGCTGGTTGGACCCAGGGCCTCGGGCATTGTTCACGCGGTTCTATCGCCTTGCGAAGACTCAACAAGGCAACTGTTACGAGTTTTACGAGTTTTGCATGCAGATCGTCTTGCATTTCGGTTGTGGTATTTTTCCGACATGTGGCTAATTAACACCACCAAAATGCAAGGTGAATGACATGCATGGACTCGTAAAAATTGTCTTCTGGGAAGAATCGCAAGGCGGCGAAATCGCGGGAGCTATGGCCGGGACCCAAAATATCTTGAACAATGGTTGACAATTCCATTCTGATTGTACACATATTTTTTAGCAATGGGATTGCGATATAGCAAAGCGCGTGGTGGATATGACCTCTGTTCGTTGTTTTGGAGAACCTTATAAGGAATGGTTTTTCTGGTTCGACCACTACGCTGTGATGTGAGTCTGGCAGTTTGTCTTTTCAAACACTCGAACTTTGCCGTTAGTGCGTGATACTTATCTTCGCTTTAAATTACCGTATCTTTTTGTGTGCTAAATAAACAATTTTTGTATGAGCCTGCTCTGTGCATGCACGGGTTTCCAATTATTAGGTTGCTACACAGGTTTTGTTACAGTTTGATTCTTCGCGAAAATGCACTTCTTTTTCTACTAGGGGTTTGATCATAATACCATTTGGGAAAGCGGAAGCTTTAAAGATGACATATATCGGATTGCGCGATTTTGATGCATTTCATGTGAAGCTCAAAGTCAAAAATCTATGGATGCTCAGAAAACTGAAAAGTATTCATATCTTTGTTCAAAGAATTTCTGCAAAATTCTTGCTTACACAAACATAAACATCCCACATCAAACACTCATTACACCATTACATTTGCTATCTGAAATTGAGAAAGCGACTTTTTATGCTTTCGCTAAATAATGCTGTGCTTTCCATACAAGCACTTGCAGACTACAAGCTTCAGAACTGCAACCGAAATTTCTAGCTTACCGCAAGTTTTCAAGAACTGTAGTTCAGTTTTGCTAGGGTTTCATGCTGGGATCTTGTAGTCAAGCTTGTAGTATATAATTATATATGTGATAACATCACAGCATAGCTCTGACAAAATCATGAGAACTTCCGTTTTCTCGATTTCCAACCGAGGAAAGAGTAAGTAACGGTATATATAAGTTTCTGATGCGGATTGTTTATGCTTGTGCAAGTGAGAAATTTGCGAGAATATTTTGAATGATGATATAGTTTTCTCCATTCTTCTAGGCATTCAAGAACTTTTGAATTTGAGATTGAGATTTAAGATTGAATTCAAACTTGAGGTGTAATGGAAGTTGGGGGTGTTTGTGCTTCACGGTAGGTGTACGCAGCTCTTTGCGTCTCAACCTCGGAGATAGAAACAGTCAGATAGAGCCTTTCAAATTTTGCGATTTTGAGTTTGGTGGGAAAAAATGGGGAGGGCCGCTAGCTAGCCCCAAAACATCTGTGAAAATTTCTTATATATCAAGTAATACAAATCTTACCGTACAAGCTTCAGCTTGCATGGAAGTGCAAAAAAGAAAATTTTGTGAAAAATGTCTTTTTTGAAAATTTCCCTTATCACTGCATTTTTTCCACTAAAGAAGAACGCGAAACCAGTGGCCGTATTCATCAACGAAACCTCAAGGTTAAAATCTACCTCAGCTAGCATTTTGGCTTATAACCCGTATTCACAACATAATCGCAATTAAATTCTCTCATGGATTAAGTCTACCTTAAGGTAGAAATGAACCTTTAAACGCATAAACCCGTATTCATCGTTCTACCTTGAGGTTGAAATTTACCTTAATCATCATTCCTCCATCAACTTTCCATTATGCGTCCAAGGTAGAATTTAACCCTGGGATACTTAGGGTTAAAATCTACCTTGATTGCACATAAGAGTTGAACTTATTCTAAGGACCACCATCATTCTAATTTCCGAGGACCTTATTCTGACGCAACCGTTTTCAAGGACGAATTTATTTTATCAATACTAGCTCAAATTTCACTTGTTTACTTACACGGATACCTTTTTTTGTCGATGTTACCTTTTTTAGATGGGACGTGTAAGCTTTGAGAAGTAGAAAACATTCCAAATTGTGTCTTTTTGTTTGTGGAAAGTTCCTTGAAGAGGAGTTGTGAGCGCTTGCAGCAAATTTACATATACATTTAGGATGGAGTTGCTAAATTTCACTAGTCCTCAAATAAAGCAATAATTGTAAGATTTATTAGGCTGGACACTAAGTTTTGCACCTAGTTTCATAAATTCAACCTCTTTAGTTATGGCACATTCAAACTTTGGCAATCAAAAAGTAATATATGATACAACTGCGCGCAGATTGCTCAAATTTTGACATGAAATAGGAGAGCTTCAGGCATTTTTCAAGAACTAGTGAATTTTAAGAATTTCTGGAGTTTCAAGCTAGAATGAAGCCGTTACCAGCCTAGATCATGCGCAGTGATTCGGAATCACGAATTATAACTAGAAGTTGACTCATTGGCTCAGTAAGAAATAAACCAAATCTAGGGACGTCGAGATTTGGCGCCCTCACAAAGTCGACCAAGTCGCAGTACGCAAGGGTTGAGGGGGGGAGACCGTCAATGACTAAAGAGTCAGAAGCTCAATTTTCGCCGAGACTTGACATAGTAAGGCTACTTGACCTATCAGATACGAATATCATATTCATTGGTTATACAGGGTGTCCGTAAAGTATGTATACACTGGATCGTTGATATCTCTTTTCCCAAGAAGTCTTTTGTCTTGCCTCAGGTACCATTTTGTAGAGCTCGCTTCAACTTAGATTTACAGTATAGAGCGAATCGTCCTTCTTTCTCCTTTACTGTAGGATTACGGTAGAAAGTTGAAAGAGGGTTTTGGGCCATGAAAGGCCATATTTTGCCTCGAAAGAAGACAGAACAACTTGAAAACTTTTACACTAGGCTAATTAGAGTTGCTGATTCTAAGTGTAAAGTTCCCAACTTATTGTGATGCTTCATTGAAGAGTTATGTCAGGTAAGAGGTAGCGGCCATTTTTCAATGTTCCTAAAAAGTGCGATTACACCATTTAGAAAGCTTCGCAATCTTGTGAATAGTTGAGTATTAAACTCAGCGTCCATAAAAACCCTATTACACAAGTTTTCACATTTTTTAAAAAATTTTGAAACGGCAGCTTTTTCCACATTGACACCATATATTTTAAGTTTCTACCCTAATCCCACAGTAATGAAGAGAGATGGGTGATTTGTTCTATACTGCAAATCTAAGTTGAAGCGAGCTCTACAAAATGGTACCTGAAGCAAGGCAAAAGACTTCTTGGAAAAAGAGATATTAACGATCGAACAGTGTATACATACTTTACGGACACCCTTCCTTGTTTCCCTGTTTTCCTTCCCTCTTTTCTTGTTCAGGGTGGGACTCTATATTTACAGTAACCTTACAAAAAAGCTTTTATCACGAGTCATTATCATTTTTGTGATCAGCATGTCGAATAACACCCATACCAGGTTTCAGCTAAATCTGTCATATTTATATTCAATGAAGCTAGAATATGGCAGAACAGCAGCTGCGCTTGTAGCTTACGTCACAGTCTACACAAGCGCAAAATTTAAGTGCTCATGTCGAAAGAGAGGAAAGCGTTAAATGAGTTGCAAAACTTAGTTTCCAATATTTGATTATTGGAGTATCTATTAAGTACTTTAATGATTATCATTGCTCCATTGAAGCGCTAAAAATATATTGCGACCATTTTTGTCCTACTTGTAATCCAATTTCCGCTCTAAAAAACGCTCATGCTTTGTCCATAAATTCTGCAGCTAAGGAAGGCAGTGGCGTCAGCGTTCTAAGCCCTTTAACATGTATCAGAGCCCAGCGCGACGGTGGCAAATAGACACCCGTGAAACGACTTCGCCTTTGCCACTATCGATTTTTATGATTTCCCACTTGATCTCGCCAGTTGCGTAGGTTGTTCGATTGCGCGATTCTCTCCTTAAAAGGACCGGCGTCGTGCTGTTCCGTATCCTAACAAAGAGGCGAGGAGAAGAGTTTTGAGACCAAAGTTTTGCATACTAAACTATAAGAGTGAAACAGAGTTATGCAAAAGTTTTGGAAACTTATGTGAATCTTTGCGGTATTTGCGTCCCATATGATACAGCTCAATTCTAACTCTACTTAAACTCTGATGGCCATAAAGCGTGTTCTTCTTCCTAATGTACACGGTGTCTCAAAAGTAAGTACTCACTCTTTGATCGTTAGTAGCTCTCTTCACAGCAAGCCTTTCGCTTAGCTGCAAGTACCATGCAGTAGTGCAGGCTTCAACTTAGGTTATAGTATGGAACAAAACACTTATGGATCTTAATTGCTGTAAGATCGGTAGAAAAATATACAGCGCCATTTTGAGATAGGCCAGCAAAAAAGCTTCCAAAAAGCTGGAAAGTTGTGTAGCAGTGTTCCAAAAATGCTAACACAATTAAACAACCTTGCTGAGAGTTTTTACGCGTTTCGATTGGTTTAGATTTTAAATAAGTGAAAAAAGGCAATTGCGTTTACTTGGCATAGTTATGAAAAAAGCTTTCTGGTAAATTGGAAACTTCGCATTCATGATCAACGACTCTGTTTAGTCTTGTGATAAAGTTTTCAGCTTGCTGAGTATCCATTTTGGGCCAAAATTCATACATTAATTTCAACCATCAATGTATAAGTTTTTATAAGTTTGATAGGAAGTTAAGGAGGTTTTGACTTTGTTTGAAACCCTCTTCAACTTTCTATTGTGATACTACAGTAATGAAGAGCTATAGGTGCTTCGCTCCATACCAGCATCTAAGTTCAGGCCTGCTCTAATGGATGGCTGTTAGATCTAACCGAAAGACTTTGTGTGAGAAGAGATATTAACGATTGAGAAGGTGTGTACTAACATTTGAGACAACCCTATATCAACTGCCACCTCCAATCATGTTGAAACATGATTGCTTAGTTCCTCAGAAGACTTTCCTGCTAAAACATGGTAACGTGCACCTACAAGATATATGGCGTTATCAACATGGCAGTCGGAAAATCACGAGCAGTAGAAGATTTCATGCACCGCTGATACGTCATGGCATGTTCCGAATAAACGTCAGTGAGTACTCTGCTGACTACCAGGTAGATTTTAGCCTCAAGGTAGATTTGTGAATAGCAGAGTTACCTTGAGGTTAAAATTTACCTTGAGGTGTGCTTTCAAGGTAAAACTTAACCCCAAGGTTCGTTGATGAATACGGCCACAGGAGTGTTATTTGTTGCCCATCTGAAACATTTCTGCAGAATGGCATTTTTCATGAGATTTTGTTTTCGAATTTACAGGCAAGAGTGAAGCCTGCCACAGCAATATATGGACTCTGCTACGTAGGGAATGAATTTACAGATTTCTTAGGGCTAGCAACTTCCTCAGAAATTTTCGGCACCAAACTTATAATCGCAAGATTCGAAACTTTATATCTGAGGCTTCGTTCTCGGTAGCGGGGCGGAAGGGCGGAAGCATTTTGCTATTCTTAGAGAAAGAAGCTATGAATTCAGGTTTACTCATAAGGAAGCTGTCGCGACTCGTTCTTACTACGCACAAATTTCCACGCCAATTAAATATTGACGATTTTCCATAGTATCATTGTGCGGGTTTTGCGTAGCAGCGATTCGCCATCGTTTTGTTGAGAATGCTTTATTGAAACTATGGGATAAAACGAAATGAAAAGAAAATGACAGAAAAATGTGCTGAAGAATTGACAACCGTGAAGTTCAGGGATGAAGAAAGCCTTCTTGAATATCTCTCAAGAGAACTCACAAGAATAGAAGAAGAAGCACCAAAAAATATCACAAACGACGCTGTGTTGTACAATGACACTGATCCCGTTTATGGATCTTACGGTTCAGAATATAATTTGTTTGTTTACTTGAATGTATGATTTTCTACTTTGCTGACTTTGAAGACATAACCAAAAATATTTCAGTTAATGAATGCTAACGCACGAAAGTTTGCATGCATCTTAGTAGATGAAACGTGTCCAAACTTGGCTGGTGAGGAAATCTATATTTGTGCTACAGAGCAGGCGTAAGTTGTATGACAATCTATTGGCATGTTATGTCTTTCATATCCGAAACGACGTACTGTTTCTAATTTAAGTCACTTTCCTCAATATCGCAGCACATAACTTAGAAGTCCATACCTAGGAGAAAGTCAACGCTGCAATGAATTTGTAAGCGATCTCATTTTGGCGCAAGATCTGAGTCGTCGTTGATAAACTTATCAAAACTACGCGCAGTTTGTTGACCCCTTAGCAGGTGCTTGAACAAATCAAATGTGGAAAGCGATTGGCAGGATACTCCGCAAACGATAGTTTATTCGTCGTAGAGCAATATCGTGCAAATCGCTCTGCACATGAAATAGAGCCACCAAACGAGCAAGTGAGCTCGGCAATAACTCTGAGTTGGTCGTTCCAGCATGAATCAGAGATGACTCTGAGTTTTGTTAGAGGAATGGAAATAGTGCAGAAAAGAGGAGGAGGAGCTAAAAAGTTTTTCGTGAGTACTTTTTGATCGAAGTTTCAGCAGGCATGATGGAGGTAATGTGGTGCGCCGTTGTTTACAAAGTTTTGAAATTCTATAAAACCTCGGCACATGGGCTAATCGGTGTGCTGTTCACGGGTATTCATTTTTTTGCTTTGGGGTCATAAAGCCGGGTTACGGTGGGCTTACGGTAGACAGGAGAATGTCATAAAATTGGCCGAAACATGGATCGTCGGGGTTATTTGGCTAACTAATTACGAAATGGTATTCATTTTATACAGCGATGGCATCTGGCGAGGTTACGGTAGGTTTACGGTAAATGAGTTGAAGCTGCGGAATCAGCTGAAACTTGGTACACTGGGGTTATTTGGAGCGAAGATCACGGACAGTCTATTCCATAGACAGATGTCATTTTGAGCGGTTACGGCAGGCACATTGTAAGTGGGCCAAATCATAAAATAAGGACAAACCTTGCTTGGAGAGTTTATTCTGTGCGCAAATCCTAACAGCCCATTATTATCATTGCGTATGCCATCTTCTCTCACTATTGTCTATTGTTTGAAGCTTTTAGCTGCACACAAAAGACCAATCCGCGCTATAAATCACTACTTTTCGACAGAAATAAAAGTGAATGAGCATATGATAAAACTTGTTTTGACATGCTATGTGTTAATGCAATAAGTACATTATGGCTAAGCAAGTCTAAGCTTTAAGGCCAGTTTGTCGTGGCCTAGCAGTTTAGTGACAGGATCTTAAGCTAAACCATACACGTTCGAGTATCTTTAACCCATTAACGACAATGTGACCCACATGGTGGGTCATGCAATGACCATGGTTTTAGAACTTCTATTATGCTTAATTCCTAGGAATTACTTCCGCGTTTCTTAGCTGCTTCTCAGAATCACTGTAGGGATTCTGCAGATGACGGCCTGTTTGATTTCAGCTAAAAATACTCAACTTATTGTAAATGGGACTGTCCCACAAGCCAGGCAGCTAAAAATGCACGCTGTCGTCAACGTGTTAACTTCGCTTTTGCAGCAAAGTGCGTAATAACTCCTTAAACCGCGAACCTGAGTTTGAGAGTTGGAACTCGGAACTATGAAGCGGGACTCAGAGTTGTAGTAAGCTTAACTCTGAAAAAGTCTAAAGCTCCGCGTTAACTCAGAGTTATCTCTGAGTTAACGCGGAGGTTTAAACTAATCTCGTCGAAACTCCGAGTTTAAAGCTCCGCGTTAACTCAGAGAACTCTGAGCTCCGCTTTTGAAACTCGGAGTTATGCTTAATGAAAAAAACCCGACAAGGGAAGCTACCTAACTTAGTTCAGCCTTTTGGCAAGGGACATACATAGTAGTCTGAATCAGCTTCAAACGCTGATTCCAAATATGCTATTCCTAGCTGCCGCGCACCATTCCGACGCGAGTTATGGGCTCTTTCTCACGCAAAATTGGCATGCTCATCGCTCACGGGCATCACCTCATCATCATTTAAGTGCTGATACACCTGCGTTAAACTTTTTTTTAGTAAGAAAAGATTGGATTTGTACTACTTCGATACCTCAGCACCTTTTTCTCGCAGATTTTTATCTACAGGCAGTCTTCTCATGTTCAGTAGTATGCCAATTTTACGTGAGAAAAAGCCCATAACTCGCTTTGGAATGGTGCGTGGCAGCTAGGAATAGCATATTTGGAATCAGCGTTTGAGGCTGATTCAGACTATATATGCCTTTTACTAAAAGGCCGAGCTAAGTTAGGTAGCTTTCCTTATGAGTTCCGCTGTCAAAGTTCCGGTAAATTTTAAGCTCGGATTTTTCGCGGTTTGAAAAACTGTTACGCACTTTTATGCAAAAGCGACGTCAAATTTGGGATTTGAACCTGTTCGTTATTGCGTAATGATCCCATCATTGAAGGCACAGTCCACTCTAAGTTGAGGATGTTGAGCTTTTAGCATCATATGATGATAGGGCCCCCTATGAAGCCAATGCCCAAGTCGCGGCGCAAAATGCCGCTTCGGAAGCGAGAAAATCGCTACGGAATAGCGAAGATGCAGGTGGACCCCCATCCATGCCCGCCCCACACCATCCAAAGCCGGCTTGAGGGTTCTCCGGAACGGGGATTATTGGGGTTTTTGCGGCTTCTCTACTTCATATTCGGAATCAGGGACGTGAGAATGCCCCGGAACAATCAAAACATGGAAATCGAGAATCTGGGTGGACGGTGCCTTTAAACCGTTAGGCTATGATACACGCTGCAGACTTGAAGTTCTTTTGCCATAATGTACTCATTGCATCGAAACAAAGCAAGTCCAAACATGTTATATCACTCACTCTTTTTTATTTCTGTCGAGAAGAGGTGATATATTGCAAGGATTGGTCTTTTGCGCAGCTGAAAGCTCAAATCAAAGAGAGCGGATGGCATACGCAATGGTAAGAGTAGACTATTAAGGTATGCGCACAGATCAAACCTCCGCACAGAACTTCCTCTTATTTTACGACTTGACCCGCTTACAGTATGCCTGCCGTAATCGCTCAAAAGACACCAGTGTGCGGAGCATATAGAGTTTCCGCGATCAGCACCCCGTTAACCCCAACGATCGATGTTTCGATCAGTTCTTGGTTTTCTTAGTTTTACCGCCGTATAGCTTCGGTGACACTTAGCTATACGGATCCGCAGCAGAAATGCATGCTATATACGTGATCGCCGCTGCGAATAACTCCAGTGTACCAATTTTCAATCAGTTTCGTGATTTTTTCCTATCTACCGTAAACTACCGTAACCTTGCCAGATGTCACCGCAGTATAAATTGCATGCCATTTCATGATCACCCGAATAGCCCCACCGGCCTTAGTTTTGTCCAATTTTGTGATTTCCTCCTTTCAACCGTAAACCCACCGTAAGCGAACTACACGACTCCTTGGTAAAAAATAAGTATCATATTCGTGATCAGCGCACCGAATGAACCCCGGGCCAAGATTCTACAAAGTTTCAAAATTTCGTATATATATTACTGCGCATCGCGATACCCCCATCATGCCTGCTTAAACTACGAGCAAAATGTAATTCGGAGGACTTTTTAGCTTCCCTCTCCTTTTGTGCACTACTTCTCTTTCTCTGACTAAACTCAGAGTTATCTTTAGTTCCACGATAGACTGGAACGCGCGCCAAACTCAAATATCGCAAAGCTCAGCTACGCGTTGGTGGCATTGTTTCATGTGTAGAGCGATTTGGACAATATTGCTCTACCAGGAATAAACTACCGGTTACGGGGTATTTTGTCATATCATCGCTTTCCAAATTTGGTCTGTTCAGTATACTTGGGTAACTCGATAATTTTTCATCGAATGAATGAATATCGAAGAAATTCGAAAAGGAAAAATTTCGAATAAACGAATATCGAATAAATTCGAAAATAAAAAATCTCGAATAAACAAATATCGAATAAATTCGGAAAATTAAAAATATCGAATGAATGAATTTCGAATAAATTCGGAAAACCAAAAATATCGAATGAATGAATTTCGCATAAATTCGGAAAAATCAAAATTATCAAATGAACGAATATCGAATATATTCGAACATTGGAAGTCGAATTTCGAATAATTATTCGAATGATTTATCGAATAACTAAAGCAATCAAATCTCAAATTTGCCGACTTATCCGGCTAAAGCCGATCCAATCACAATCAGCCCCCTAGTATCTCCTATACCAACTCCTAGCTCAAAATTTTCCAAAAATTGCTAAAATCAATAAAATAGATTTCGGTTTTAATCAGCACCCTCACTTACCCCTTGTACGAACTCCCAGCCCCGCAGCTCAAACTTCTCCAAAAAATCGATGAAGTTAGTCGGTTGGCAACTAGTCTATACATCAGCAAAAAGTCATATTTCACCCATTCTTCCAGTTTTGTTTCTGTTTGCTTTTACGCGTCTACTCTGCTTTATGGCAACAAGCCGTAGCTGCCGTTTGTGTTTGTGCAGTATAGTAAATTTCTCATTATAGTCTGTTTGAGTGCCAAGATTTTGCGGTGAAAAGCCGGCCGGGAAATCTTGGCATCGCAACACTATATTAAGCAAGAAATCTACTGATCTGTAAAAATGAGGCTCTGATAATCTCGAGTGTGGCCGCTATCTTATCATCAGCTTATCTATCTCTTTGCTCAATTTTCATTACTAGATTCAATCCTTATGACCATTGAACACATTCGTGACAATAAACTTCGAGATCAAACATCTATTTCGTTTCATTTGGGATTTTCTGAGACTTACAGCCAGAAGTCTATTGCCGGACGAAGTGCACCAGCCATCTTCAAGCTGTCACGAGCGTCGTGTAAGCGGCTGCTCTTCTTGATCCTTGGGCGTTGTGCACCGTACGGGTAAGAACCGCATCTGTACACTTTAATCCTGCGGCTTTGTTCGACAGCAGACCCTATTTGTCAGACTTCCACTAGATTTCAAGACGTTTAGCAGAGTAAAGATAAAATTGGCTGGAGCTAAAATCTAAAAATGAGAAACATTGCAACGTGTAAGCACCTAACGAGCTGTTAGGACT